TAACTTTTCGTTTTTCATAAGCGAGTAAATTTTTTTGAAGTTTATTTGCTACTCTACTATCCATGCTTTGAAGGTGCTTTCTGAAATAAAAATTGAAAAAGTTATATACAAAAAAAATATATAGTGTTTAATAGAAATTTACCTTAAAGCCTGAAATAAACTCTTTCCTAATATTTGAATAATACAATTTTTGCTTGAATCATTAGAAACAACATAAACAGGTGATGCTAATGGTACATCTCTATAATAGCCAATATGAAATTCTGAATCAGTACTTGCTATAATTGTCTAAAAAAAATATAAAAAGTTATTCATAAGTAACTGGGTAATAGACAATACAATACTACACTACATAGTATGTTCTAGGACGTATACACTATGGGTTTTCAACACGCGTCATGCCTTATCTTTATTTGAGGCCAGCAGACGCATTTTAAGCATAAATGTATTTTTTATTATTATTTAAATAAAAAATAAAAGGTGACTTGCTACCTAAGAATGTTGAAGACCCCCAAATTATACAATATAAAATTATTTTCATAAGTTGAGGAACATTTTAGTACAAATCACATACTTGAAATTCTGGAGGGTCAAAGTAATAACGCCAATGTAAAACTGTCTTCTCAATATCATTGGTGTTAAATCCATTCATATGTCCTGCTAATACATCATAAGGTCCAACTAACTTCAATCCAACCGATAATAATGCATCTATATTTAAATAATATCTTTACTATGTAATTTATTAAATTTAATTTGGAAAATAAAGTTTCAGTTAAGATTAATATTAAACCTTCTGGATGAGTAGAACATTGCCTTTTACAAAAACTCCAAAGATCATAAAACTCTTTTGGCATTTCATCTACAAGGAATAGCTCGGAAATTTTTGTTTTCAAATAGTCAGAGTCAGTTACATTTTGTACAGGTGGATCTGGTTCTCTATCATTTGAGTCTAGAAAAAAAAATAAAAACATCAGAAAATTAATAATTTATTAGATTGTAAACATTCATACAAAAACTGTATTTTATGTTAAATTGTTATTTTTTTTTTTTCGTATAGCGGAGTAGGCCCGAAGGCCTAGTTCGGACGCCTGTTTGGCAGAATTTCTATTGGGGCACCCGTAGGTTTCTGCCATGCCCCGGAGTGGAGGATGGCGGCACTTGTTCTCCGGACACCATGACTTGCCCGGAGAAAAATGCCGCCCGATGGTCGAGGATCGAACCCGGTCCGGCTGAGCCACAGC